GGCGGAGCCAAGGGCAGGGGAATTAGAGGGAGGAGTCTTCGACCAAGTAAGCAAACCTGCAGTTGATGTGTGTGGCTTCCTCATCGGCGTGCTCCTCTCCATTTTCTCCTCTGTTCCTACTCCCATGTGAACCAATGCTCTTGGCAACTGCAAAAGCAGCTCGAATAAAAAGCACCAAAACAACGCAAGCTTTGCTCGATCCTTTTCTTCCTTACTTCTCCTTCGCAATAAAAGCACTGTTTTGAGCAAGAGCAAGTGCACAGTGAGAGCCAAAAGGAAGGCGCAGCTGGTGTTGAAGCTGGGTTGAGAGAACCCAGATCTGGGTTCTCTCAAACCCAGATTTGAGTTTTCTCAAACCCAGATCTTCGTTTTCTTTGAGGGAATCAAAGATCGTTTTTGGGGGAATCCATGGATGAGGTCTTTCCTCACATTGCTCATGGCTTCAAACGACATGGTTGAGTGGGCATAGAACAGGTTCGGCTGAGTTGATGCGAGAACTGATGTGAACACCGATCGAACACAGCAAACTCGTTTGCCAACTCAGTGTAAATCAAAACCCTACTCGGCTCAAACTTGCTCATGACAGTCTTCGCCATCCCTTCACTCATGCTCTCTGCCTACTGAGCAAACCCATTCATCTGTGCGAAGAAAGAAGGCTGGGAAAGAGGAAGGGGCGGAGGGATGAGAAAGAAGAAGGGAGGAAGAAGAAGATGAATAATATAATAATATGTGGGTTTTTATTTAAATAAGAACAAAATGCCACATGGAAAAAGAAAAATGCCATCTCATCAAGTTTGTTTTCCACATAATTATTTTTATTTTTTAAATGTGATTTTGTGGCAAGATAACGTGCCACATGTGCACTTAACTGACGAAAGGACCATTTTGGTACCGAAAATGAAAGTTTAAGGATAATTTTGGTACTTTTTAAAGTTGAGGGACAATTTTGGTGTCAAAGTGGAAAGTTGAGGAACCAAAATGGTACTTTAACCATTAAAGTTCAATTAGATACAAAATCTCAAATATTCAAAAGTTCTCATACACTCACTTAAAGTCAAATACTCCATCCTATTCTTCACACCACTTATCAATAGATTTAGCTCATGAGCACTTAGTATGTGCAAAAATTCATAGTAAGAAATCTCGAGTTTAGACCTTCAGACCTTAGCGCTTATTATTATTTTTTTCTTTTTCTCCCTTTTTTTGTGTTGAGTTTCCTTAGGTTTTCTAAGTTACCCATATAGGGTTGAAGTTGATTTAGGGGGCAAAAATGCTTTAGGTTCTGTTACCCAAGAATGCCAAATAGTTGCATAACATAATAGAAATTCAGGAGATGCAGATGGAAGAATCGGAGAAGATGTGCTAAGTGGTGATGAGTATATTGATGTTCCTTGGCTAACCAACACTGAGGATGAGGAGTGGCAATTTGCAAGGAATCAATATAAGGATACTCTTAAGTTATATGCAAATGTTGTTGAAATAGAAGGGGCTTTAGATGATCCAAGTGAAGCATATGTTAAGGAAGGAGTTAGCGATTCAATTGATTCTGATGATGAGGTTAGTTTTGTTATAACTAGTGATGATAGTGAGGTAGAAGAAGCAAGAAGAAGGCGTTCACTACACAAGGTGTTTGATGAATCAACAGTCATTCCACAATTTGAAATAAGAATGATATTTTTGAGCAGGAAGCAATTTAAAGATGCAGTTCTTACACAATCTATTTATATGCAAAGAGAGACAATGTTGAAGAAAAATGATAAAAAAAGAAGTCAGGGCTCTATGCGCAGATAAGAGGTGCAATTGGACTTTGCTACTTTCTTTGGATGGGAGGACAAGAAGTTGGATGATAAAGACATACCGGGATGAGCATACTTGCAGTTACAATTTGAACAATAGAAGGGTTAGATCAAGGACTATAGCTAGACATTTCATTAAGACAAGAGGTATTTCAGCTACTGCAGCAACGCAAATTAATATCCAACAATCAATTAAAGAAGAATTGCATCTTGAAATCACAATGTGTCAAGCTAGAAGCGCAAAACAACTTATTATCAAAGAGTTTGAAGGCAATTGTGAGAAGGAATACCGTAGGTTATATGATTATAGATTTGATCTTTTAAAGAAGAACCCCAACTCTACAGTTGCAATTGATGCAAAGAGGCCTACACCAGATTCTAAACTTGTCTTCTTAAGATTCTATGTCTACTTTGCTGCATTGAGGGAAGGATTTATAGCTGGTTGTAGACCAATAATCGGTCTAGATGGTGTATTTCTCAAAGGTCCTTACAAGGGTCAATTACTATCAATCATCGAAAAGGACACAAATAATCAAATGTATCCTATTGCTTGGGCCATTGTCGAAAGTGAAAGCACAAGCACGTGGACATGGTTCTTGGAGTATTTGAATTCTAATCTCAAAATTGGTGATGGACAGTATTTCACCTTCATATTTGATCAGCAAAGGTAATTTTAATTGTTATATGTTATTTTTTGATTAATTTTTAATGCTTGTGAAAATAGTAATCATTTTCCTTTTCCTATTTTATAGGGCCTGATTAATGCAATCCAGACATTGTTCCCTAAAGCACATCATAAAAGGTGTGCAAGGCATATTTATGCAAATTTTAGAAAGGATCACAAAGGTAAAGAATTGCAAAGATGGTTTTGGATCACTGAAAAGTCAACAAATGAAGCAATGTTTAGAAGGAACCTTGAAGAGATCAATAAATTGAAGCCTGCAACAAAAGAAAGATTGATGAAGCTAGACCCCAAATTCTGGTGCAAAGCCTTCTTTGACACTGATGCAAAATGTGATGTTATTGACAATAATATGAGTGAAACTTTCAATGATTTCAATTTAGATGCAAGGCACAAGGGACCTCTCTCACTACTTGAGGATCTTAGAAGGAAGTACAGCAAGAGGAATATTCAAGAGTTGGAATTTGCTGACAAAAAGTTTAAAGGTCAATTTGGTCCAAAGATTTGGGAGAAGATTGAAGAATACATAAGCAAAATGCCAAGATGCCATATCAAATCACAAGCAAGATGAATTTATGAAGTAGAAGAACGACCATATTCTTTTCTAGTCAATGTTCATGAGTGTACTTGTAGTTGTAGATTTTGGCAACTCAATGGTATTCCTTGCAGACATGGAATGCTTGTCATCCAACATAGGGGTGAGGAGTATGAAGATTATGTGCAATCATGCTATAGAAAGCAAGCTTACATTGACATAAACAAAAATTTTATCATTCCTATTGATGGAATGCAATTTTGGGCTGATTCTGGTATGCTTAAAATTGATCCTCCTATTCCAAAAAAAAAGACGCCAGGAAGGCCTAAGAAGAAAAGACATTTAGAAGAATGGGAGATGGCTTTTGGATCAAACATGAGTAGGAAAGGTAGGGTCATGACTTGTCAAGCTTGCTTCAAAAAGGGCCAGAACTAAAGGACATGTCTAGTGAAAAAGCAAAAATCTACTATAAGTATAAAAGCCAAATCTTTGTTTGTTCTTCTTGATTTTTTTTTTTTTTGTTTAATATTTAATTGAGTTTTGTGAATTTTAAGACAAGTTGAAGAGTCATTGTCAAATGCTCAAAATCAAGTTCCCGAATCTATCCAGCAGCCTCCTGCTATGACTACTGTAAGTATAAAAGCCAAATCTTTGTTTATTCTTATACATTAAATTTATTTTTTGTTTAAAATTTAATTGAGTTATATGAATTTTATGAGAGATTGAAGACTCATCGACACATGTTCAAAATCAAGTTCTTGAACTTGTTCAGCAACTTGCTACTATTGATATTCAAGTTTCAAAATCTGTCCAGCAACATGCTTTTCCTACTACTGTTGTTGCTATTCAAGTTCAAGAAACTGTCCAGCAACTTGCTCTTCAAGTTCCAATTGATGTTCAAGTTCTAAAAAATGTCTCGCAAAATTCTGATCAACCAAATTTAAATGTTGAGCAACCAATTCAATTAGTTACCAGGAAAACTGTGATGGTTCCAAAGAGACTACCTAAAGAGTTTAAGGCAACATGTAGGTCGAGGGTTAGAATGCCTAGTGCTGTAGCTGATGACCCTAGCATGAACAACTCCCTAAACATCACTAAGAATGTTGCTGTAGGTAATAGTGCTCAAGTGCAGAAGGAAAATAAAGTTGTTGCAAGCAATCAAATACAGAAAAAAAAATAAAGAGAAGGTACTAATCTATTTATGTTCCATTTTGTGACAAGTTTATTGTCTTTGATGAGTATAGAATCTTTTAACACATGATTAACTGAAATTACGGGTGTAGGGTCAAGCAAACCAAAAGAAAAAGAAAGGGAAAGTTCTTAGAATGGTGGAAATCCCCAACCCTCAAACTGCCTTATCTATTCTTGATGTGAGTTTTAAATTTCAATTTTTTATATTAATGTATTTTTTTATATAATATTTGTATGTCTAATTTTTATAAATTAAAATGTCTAAACTTTTCTTTCCTAGCCTGGTTATAAAAGCACAAAGACTTGCAATATACAAAGTGCAATGAGGACTAACACAATGAGCATGGAAGAAAATATGGTCAACAAGCAACCACATCAACCAACACAAAGACAAAGTGTAACATACCAACATTTGGATGTAGGTGACATTGAGACATTGAACATTGATTTTCATATCGAATTGCTATTTCATATATATAATTAATGTATATTTGTGAAATTTTTTAGGTGGAGATATGTGTGAGATTAAGGGCCATAAAACAATCTAGGTTGGATCAAATGGAGACTACAAATTGGGGATCCCTATTGCAAGCAATCAATGAAGGGAGTGATGGAAATGCTTGTGATTGAGGGGGGATGAGTGATGACTTCTTTTGTGCATACTATGAAATGGTGCTCTACTTAGCTACTGATGTCTATTTGGAGTTTTAGTAGTGTTAATGCTATCTATTTAATGGTTTATATATTGTGAATGATGGTTTATGATAGGGACATTTAGAGCATGTAAATTCCTATAATGTACTGCACTATTTTTGTTTTTGTTGCTTTATTTTTTTTAAGTCATGTCCTGTATAAGCAAGTAATAGAGCAAGGTTTACAGAGACTAAGAGATGCCAAATTACAATGCTTCTAATCTGCTACAATTTGTTTTTTTGGTTAAGTTCTGTTTTCTGTTATGTCCTGTTTTCTGTTATGTCCTATACAACCAAATGGTTACTTGTAATGACATTGCACTGTTTACAATGAAAGTGTATATTTTCCCTACTTTAGTAAATCTTGCATTTATACAACTAAAAATGCTCAAAAGATTGACATATTTTGCCAATTAACATGACCAAAAAAGAGTCATATATTGCATTTCACATTTGCAGTACATAGAAGATTGCCTTGGCTTGGCATAAGGGATCCATTACAAAAGTAAACAAAAAGACCCTCTACAAATGCAAACAACTATCTAACACAACTTAATTGCAAAATAAGCAATACTGTAGAAAATACATTTTCAAATTCAACCAACTTGAAGCAACCATCTCATGATCTCTGAGCTTTTTTCCCATTTTAGAGTTCAAACTCTTCAAATAGTTAATCTCTCTATAGAGGTCCAAATTCTCTCTTTTCAATTACAAGAGCTCATTCATCAGTGTTTGCTCCTTATCCAGCAATATGTTATCCAGAATTCAACTCAAGCCTCATCATCCTTCTACAACAATATAAAACAAAAACTATCTGTATCAAAATCCAAATCAACCACAATACCACAGCACAACCGACGATCAACAACAATTAATAACAGATTTCACCAACCCAAAATCAACAAGAAAATCCAAAATTAATAACATATCTTACCAACCCAAATCCAACACAAAATCAACAAGAAAATTCATGATTAATAGTAGCTATTACAACCCAAAATCAACACAAAATCAACAAGAAATTCCACAGTTAATAGCAGCTTGCTCGAACACATTCTAGGTTGGGTGATTCCATGATTGGGTGAAGAAAAGCAAGATGATTTTTGGCAACTTTGGGCAATTTTGGGTTCGGCATTTTTGGGCAAATTTGGGCGATTTTGGGTGTAGGATTTTGTGGGTTATGGTGAAAATGGTGACAAAAGAAAGAAAGCCAGAAAGTTGGTGAAGAAGGGTGGAGAAAAGAAGCAATCGATTGGATGAACTGGTGAAGATGGTGTGTGATTTGGGTGAAGAAAAGCAAGATGATTTTCAGCAATTTTAGGCGATTTTGGGTTTAGCAAAATTTGGGCAATTTTGGGCAATTTTAGGCATAGGGTTTTCTGGTCAAGATGGCAAAGAAAGAATGAATGAAAAACAGAAGGTTGGTGAAGAAGAGTGAAGAAGAGGAACAACTAAATGGGTGAATTGGGAACTAGTGAAGACGGTGAAGAAGGGCATGGGTTTCCTTCTGTCGATGGTTTAGGGAAAATGATCGTGAGGAAGAAAGAGAAGGAAATAAAAGGAAGACTTAAAAAAAAAAAAAAAAAAGTTTCCCACTTGTCTTATTTGGTAGAAAAAAAAAAACTAAGAAACAAAGTTAAACCTTTGACCGTTAGCAATTGACGGTCAAAATTAACGAAAATGTGGATGGCATCCAATTAGGAGTGATAAAAAAGGTTTAGTAGAGGAATGACATTTATACTGTAAGGGAAGTAGAGGGATGACATTGAACATTTCCTTAGTAGAGGGATGGTAATGAACATTTTCACAAAGTATGAAGACTACAATTGGCTTTAACCCATTTTGTTGATGTGCGACTTTAACCAAAAACGGAAGCGTTTGAACAAAAAAAAATCTCTACGGTTTTATATAAGTGCCCACTTGCTATGTTGGTTTGGAGACCATGGTTAATAATTTTATTCAAATTGTTAAAAATAAATATTTGATATATTTATTTATTTTAAAATCACTATAAATTAAGTGTTTAGTAAAATTTTTTATTAGTGATTTAAGACTAGTTGATAGAGATTAGGGTTCAAACTGTTAATAGATGGAAAAAGTTACCTAAGGTAATTTTTTATATCAAACTGTTAACGGATTAGAATTTTTTTATTTTATTGACAAATTTATTCCTTTTAATCTTTTAATTTTTCACGGTTTTTAATTAGTATTTATTTAATTAATTTCAATTTTATTTTTTGTCTT